TTTATTCGATCTCTATTCATTTTAAACCGCACTCCCTCCTTGGCTTTTAACTCAACTGCTCCATGAGGGAATACTTGGGTAATCAAGTAAGGGCCAGTCCATTTAGACTTGAGCTTGCCTGGAAGACAAGGCGACCCAGAACTGTCTACAAGCACCAAATCCCCAACCCTAAACTCTTGTTTTGCAGTTTTTCGTTCATTCTCCTTCTTCATCTTTTCTTTGTGGGATATGGCGGATACTGATTGGAGCTCACCACTCTGCCTCATAGTCCTACATACGTTGAAGGTCGCTTCTTCATTGTTCAACCGAAATTTTATCTGCCCCTTTTCCATATTAACTAAGGCTCTACCTGTAGCAAGGAATAGCCTCCCAAGAATAATAGGCACTTCAAAATTGACTTCGCAATCAATAATAATAAAATTATCCCGAAAGATGAATGACTCCACTTTTACTAGCACATCATGGAGTATCCCTATAGGCTGTTTCACTGTCCGATCAGCCATCAGTAACCGCATCGCGGTGGGTTTTGGGTCACCCAAACCCAACATCTTGTAGATCGAGAGGGGCATGAGATTTATGCTTGCCCCCAGATCACATAATGCTTTCAAAAAATGTAATGACCCAACTGTACAAGGAATAGTGAACGCACCCGGATCTTCTTTCTTTTGTACGAGGGATCTTGTAGCAATAGCACTACAATGCTGCAGTCTATCATCATCCTCAAAAGTGACCGATCTTTTCTTTATGACCAGATCTTTCATAAACTTGGCATAACCGGGCATTTGTACTAGAACTTCTACCAAAGGGACATTGATAGAGAGCTGCTTTAGCATTGTTATAAAATGCCGATATTTACCATCCTCGGTCTTTTTCACTAATCTCTGAGGGAAGGGTGGTGGTGGTATAGGCATGGGAATTACCTTCATAGGGACTTGTGCATCTTTTACATTGCTCTCTTCTTTCTCAACACTACCCTTTACCACCTTATCATCATACTTTCTCACATTTTCCTTATCAGACGGCATAGGTGAGTCAATGGTTTGCTTACCACCCCGAGTAGTGATCGACATACAGTGCGCATCATTTTTTGGATTTTGGACAGTGTTGCTAGGAAGAGTTCCTAGTTGCCGTGTGTTCACTGTCGCAGATAATTGGGACATTTGCAACTCGATCTGTTTAATCGATATTGCATGTGTATCAACTTTTTGCCCAGTACTAGCTAAATCACACCTTAACTCTTTAATGTTCTCATCACTAGCATCGAACCTCCTCATCATTTTGTGCAACATATCCTCAACTCGCTCCATACTATCTCCACCATCCCTAGGAGTAACTTCACGATTTTGAGGAGGGACATAGGGCCCATTCCTATTATTTCTGTTACCGTAGTTACCCCTGTTGAAGTTGTTGTCGCGGTTGTAGTTACCATCTCGGACATAATGACCCTCACGGTTATAGTTACCATAGTTCCAACCTTAGTTCCCTTGACCTTGGCGCCAATTATCCTGATTTGAGCCTTGGGCACTTGGTCGGAAACCCACCGTTTGCTCATTTACTGCATAAGTGTCCTCCGCATAATAGCATTCATCATTAGGAGGTGGTGGTTTAGCCAAGTAGTTGACTGTATTAATCTTTTCTGCACCCCCCAGTGACATGTTTTAGTACCAACCCAAGCTCAGTTCTCATCTGAGCCATTTCTTCACGATTCTCATCTGTGGCTGGGTTGTGAGTGGACTACACTGCGAAGGTGTTTCTCCCTGTATCAGACTTCCTAGTACTCCAAGCTTTGTTATTCCGGGAGATTTTCTCTAATTTTTCAGCAATCTCAGCATAAGGACATTCCCCATAAGATCCACCTGCTATAGTGTCCAACACCGCTTTATTATTATCATCCAGTACCCGATAGAAGTATTCCTTCAGTGACTCATCATCTATACGGTGATTTGGAACACTTCTCAAGAATGAGGTGAATCTATCCCAAGAACTACTAACTGACTCTCCTGGTAGTGCCACAAAGTTATTCACTCTGTCTTTGTGGATTAGTTTCTTGGAGGCCGGATAGTAGCGGTGCTAAGAAAACATCCCTTAGTTGGTTCCAAGTAAAGATTGAGTTGTATGGGAGCTCAATGAACCATATAGCAGCCTCTCCCATCAGTGAGAGAGGAAACACTCTGAGCCCTATTAGATCTAAATCCAAATCAAACCTCCCTACACACTTTTACACACTGCCCTTACCTTAGCTATATGGGCATGTGGATCCTCAGAGGGTAGCCCTGAAAACAAACCTCTAGAAGTAAGCATTTGCATCAGGCTACTAGTTACCACAAAAGTTTGGCATGTGGGTAGAGGAGGCAAAACTAGTGGCCCATCGGAGTCTGCTATGTTATCATAGCCTCTGTAGTATGCTTGGGGCCGTGGAGCGGGATTTTGTCCACTCCGTTGGTGTTCACCATGAGCATCGGGTAAAACCTGACCATGAACATCAACCAGAGCTCGGATGTTCTGGTTTGGATCATCATCATTTATTCCCAAGTTTCGATTCATATTGCGCAGTGTACGCTCTAATTCGCGATCGTAGGGAAACAATGGTTCTCTTCCTCTCCGTGCATTTGGCATACAAGGAGGATAGTTCTGAAAAAAATCAAAAACAATAAACAAAGTAAAATCAAGAAAATATCAACTAAACTATAGTAATAAGTTCAAGTTAATCTAAAAGCTACTTTCCCCGGCGCCAAAATTTGATACGCTCTAACTTACTTCTCAAATGAGAAGTAAAGCGGTCGTGTCAAGTAAATAACCCAACTAGTGAGGTTGGGATCGTTCCCACGAGGAAAATAGTCTAGACTTAACTTCAACCTGTTATTACTATTGTTTGGTCAATGACTTCCTTGGAAAGTAAAAACAATAAAAGGGGAGTTTCTATTTCTAAATGAGTGAAAATAACTAACTCAAATGAAAGAGACACTTAACAGCTTTGGATGTTGGAGTTTAATCAATTAATCAAAGTAACTAGGGTTTACGTGTTCCCCACAGGTTCATAACTTGATAATTCTAACTATAACAATTATTTCCTAGTATCTTGCATGCAAAGTGATAAGCTATGTATTTCTAAATCCTTGGTCCGGCATCTTGAAAATCTCACTCCGCACCTTGGTCCGGCTACGTGTGTTGCTATCCTAACCCTTATCTTTACCTCATATTAAGCATCGTATTCGATATTTGACTAAGTTATTACATCGTACCAATCAATACTAGCCTATTATATAGTATACACTAAATCTATGTTGATAATTCTTTTCCTATTATCTACCTCCTTGGTCCGGCAAGTAGCATTAAGGCGAGTTCTAACGTTGGCCATCCGTTAAAAAGTCTTCTAACAGAAAGAATTATTAATACATGCAAGACACCATTTTAGAATTGTTATTTTAGTTAGGTTTTATCTCATTATTTGCCTATGGTTCTCAAAACCCTAGTTATGGAGTTTAGTTACTCATAGTCATAATCACAATATTCAAATATATTAAATAAGAATTCATGTACTTACTTCAATGAGAAAGAGTAAAATCCGAAAGTTTGCTTGATTAATCAACAAAAATCACTTGCAAGAATCTCAAAATAATTAATAATCTCACAAAAAGTCGAATGATAATCAAAATTCTAACAATACAATGTTTACTAATACGATGTCTAACAATCTAAGAGTCTAACCTCAAAAAGGAGGTTTTTCGAACTATTTATAAAAAATAAAAACCTAATTAAACAAGGACTCTATTTGCTGGAAATCTGCCAAAACGCGGCTGGGTCGACGGACCTCGCGACGGATCGTCATCGTCACTACGGACCGTCATGGACTCCGTCGTCCCATACTTATGCAATTTCTTCTGCTGCTCTTCTTCATTACCCTCGACGGCAAGTATGACGGACCGTCATAGGCACAATGGTCCGTCGAGGGTCTTCATTCCAAAACACTTCAACTCTTGGAATATGGGTACTGGGATTACTTCTCTGAACTTCATGACGAACCTGCAGAACAGAACGTCATAGACACGACGGACCGTCACAAGCTTCGTAACCCCACACTTGGTCAGACTTCCCCATGTTCCTTCAGCAGCTGCACTATGCAACCACCTACGGACCGTCATAAGCTCCGTAGGTGGTCTCCGCATTCAGCTTTGGATAGATTTCCTGCAAAATAAAAAGAAACTTATATAAAAATTAGCACAAAAAGGCTTTTGGACACACTAAACTTAAGGGAAAAGTATTAATAATACCGTGAAACCACGGTATATCAGATAGTAACCTTGTTCAATTAATGATAATCTATACACATCCTAAGGGAACCATATTTCTTTCTCACAAACAAGATCAGAGCGCCCCAAGGTGAGACACTTGGTCGAGTTTAGCCTTTTCTAAAAAAAAATTCAATTGTTCTTTCAACTATGTTGGTGCCATTATATATGGCAGAATAGAGATAGGACGTGTATCTGGAGGAAGATCTATACCGAAGTCTATCTCTCTCTCAAGAGGAACTCGGGGAAGATTATTTGGAAAGACATCTAGAAACTCTTTTACTATTGAAACTGATTGAATGGGATGTACCTCAACACTTGAGTCATTTACTCGAACTAAGTGATATACACACCCCTTGAACTGTTTTTCTGCTCTAAGATTGGATCATTTGGAAATTGAAACTTTACTACTCGAGTTATTCATTAACTAAGCCATAACAGGCATGAAAAGCAAGTCCATACCAAGAACTACATCAAACCCTACCATGTATAACTCAACTAAATCAGCCATGGTACTCTAGTAATTGACAGAAATGGGATAATCATGATAGACTCTCTCTCAACTAGAATGGATTCACTAGCAGGTGTGGAAACACTGAATTGTTCACTAAGTTGCTTAAGAATAATATCAAAGTTCATTGCAACATATGGAGTTACAAAAGATAAACTCGTTGTTGGGTCTATCAAAGCATAAATAGTAAAGTTAAAGACTTAAATCATACCAGTGAAAACATCTGGTGAATCCTTCTGCTCATGGATATTGTTGAGAGAATACAAGCAATTTGTTCCTCTGCCAGTACCAGAACTAGCTCCTCTAGGTGAAACCCTGCCAGTTGGAGCAACTGATGAATACTGGGTTATATTGCCCCCATTACCACTTCCCTGCTTATTCTTTGGACTCTCTCTCATGAAAGGCCCCATCTGAGTGCACTTGAAACAACTAGTGGAGCCCTCAGGACAAACACCAAAGTGGTTTTTACCACACTTGGCGCAGGCAGGAGGCTTACCCCCTTGTGCCACACTACCCTGTGAATATGCAGGTTTAACTCTGGAATTTTGACCATATTACTCACTCTTATTCTTAAGTGCAGGTGCACCAGCAGATGATAGAGAAGGACCCTTCTGTTTCTGTTTGAAGGATGAATGGTTGGCATTATCTTTTGTTGCCCGGACTCTTTTCTTGTCTTAGCTCTCATGTTCTTGAACTCCTCTCTATCCCTTAGCTTTTCCTTCTCAACCTTCTCCACATAGATCATCAACCTCAAAATGTCCATGTCCCCAATAAGCTTTATTTCCCGACCCTCTTTGCTTGAAGAAAGACCTATACCCGCAAGAAACAAACTCATCCTACTCATCATGTCCTTAATCATTTTGTAGACCATAACGAGATAGTTGGATGAACTTCAACCCATCCTCACGCACACTTAGATAATCCTACTTATGTGTGAGGAACTCACATACCATGGCCTCTTTCAGCTCTTGGGGAAAGAAACACCCCAAGAAAGCCTTCTCTAGGAAAGTCCAACTCGCAAGCAGTGCATCTTCATGTCTAACCTCTTTCCTTTGATCATGCCAAGTTCTCGCAATACCTTTGAGTTGAAAATAAACTAGTTCAACTCTCTCAATATCAACAACATGCATCACCTCAACTCTCGCAAGTAGTGCTCGAACCAGTGAAACATTAGGGAATTTATGCTCAAGAACTCACAAATCCTCGAAGCGTGAACCCCTTCTTGTTGATCTCATTTTTTCTAACCAACTGATTAGTCATAGCCTGACTCATAATCCTAATTGCCTCACGGAACATAGTGTTGGTGGCTTTCCCTTGAGGTTTCACTTGAGGTGCATTGGGTAACTCTTGTTCATGAGGTTTCACACTCCTTCTAGTTGGATGACCTCTAGCTACTCTTTGTGAAGGCATGATTATCTTAAACACGCGCAAACGAGTTAGAGGGAAACTTTTTAGAGATAACCTCTAACACACGAAAGGATTATAAAAGAAGTGAAGAAATTCCTAAATGTTGCAGTTTCCTAAGTATAGATAGGGCGCGCTTCACACCAATAATAAGGACTCTACAAACACAACTTCATAGACTCCCTAGGATTCTTGAACTCTGTGCTCAGATACCAAGTTTGTTACGCCTCAGCCTAGACTCTGGCATGGACAACACTCAATTGCAGACTTCGAGTAGACCGTTGGCTGACTTACTTAAATCGGCGAAAGACAACAATCAATAACTTAATGATAAAAGAACTGAACAAATCTAAATCATAAGATAACTCGAAATGTTTTAAAGATTTAAACATTTAGCTTGTCCAAAATGGCAACCCAAGTCTTTAACATAAGAATCATAATGCAAAGACCAATGAACTACTAACTGTCTATGAAGCCTCTAAAATGATTAAGATAGATGTTGGGACAAACCCCATAACATCCTAATGAACTAACTAGAAAGAAATAAAAGATGTCCTCCAGAATACAAGGAGGCTCACAAACTAACTCTAGATTTCTACTGAATCAAAGGTGCGCTAGATGTTGATCCTCGTTGCCTGCATCTGCATTATAATACGATGCAGGTCATCAGTACATTGAATGTGCGGGTATGAGAGTTGGAATACTAAAACAACTTAAGTTTGAAAAGAGTTAGAAGGAACACTTACCCTGGCTCTATTAAACTCATGAATAACATAATTCAATATAACTAACTCATTTCAATGTAAAGCAATTTAAAATCAAGTGCAATATAAAGAAAAGTTATTCTAAAACATGTTGTAAACTCAGAATATATACAAGGATACAATTAACTATGAGATGAATGTAAAATACAAAAAACTGATATATAAATATAAATAAATATATTTAACTTCTATGGGAGTTTCTCTAACCGAAAACCATCATTCAAGAGTTATAGTGACGATACAATGATTAACCTCATGCTGCCAGCGCATGCTATACCCGGACAAAGGTATAAGACCTGAAATGTCTAATGGATCCACTAATCTAATGTGAAAAAGGTTCATCTAAAAATTATAACCCTTTTCTTACCATGGCAGCTACATGATTTTATGGAGATATGAGTTATCAGAACTCGTGCTCATCCCAAATTCGGTGCTCAATACTACTCCGAAATATATTGGCTCTTATGTTATTAAAACATATTGTTTTTATGATTAAAGATTATTGCTCAAAAAAAAAGCTCAAATGCTATCTTGGAAATCCCAGTTTCCTTGCTTGCTTCATCTAGAAAGCTATTACTCATTTCTGAAAACTAGCCCGAAGGCTTTTTGGAAATATTAGTTTACCTTCTTTTTAAATGTGAAAATATTTTTATACTTCTTTGGGAATACCCAGTCCCCATATATTTCTTTGAAGAAAAAAATTCACTTTACTTTAAACTAAACTCAAATTTAAGTCTTAAGCAACATTAAAACATTTTTGAAACACTTATGAAACGTGAAATGAACTTCTTCTTCTTATATTTACTCCTTACTCAACCAGATATTTAAGTCACAAACAAAGTTTAAAAAGTATTTGCAAAAGACTTCTTGAAAGGACTCTAAGAACTTTCTAGACTTGACTCTAAACTTCCCTTGAATTTGAAGTTATGGTGGATTCAAGGTTGTAATTCATGTTGCTGGATGATTTCAATATGATTAGAAGTAATTTAGAGTATTTAGAATCATTAGGAAGTGTTAAAACACTTAATGGCGAAAAATGTTGATTCAGATGCATCCTGGGAGCACCTTGCAAGGCCTCAACATTAGAGGCCACATTCAAGTGCACTACATGGGCGCCACCCCAGGCCCTCTAGCTTAGATGGGGCGCGGTGCGCCAGGCCCTGCCCTGATGACACCTGATAAATTTTTCAACTCGTTTCTGACATTAAATTGATCTAATTTGATATATTTTCTCAAATTCACTTAGATTACACGTAAGCTGCTTGTGTTGTGTTATTATTGTTATTTACTTTGTAATATCTTTCTGGTTCAGTCAAGGGACGACGCACACATTCTATCAATTGGTATGCTCTCTAGCTGGTTAACCCCAAGAGAGATACTCATGTCAAAGAATGGCTGATTCGGTGAACCTAGAAGAAGGACAACCATCACCACGACCACCACGTTTCAATGGCCAGTTCTATAGCTGGTGGAAAACAAGGATGCAAAATTATCTGATGGTTAAAGACAACGAACTACAGGAAAGTGTTGAATAGACCCTTTATTCCAACTACTGAAGTAAAGGATGGTGAAATAACAAAAGTTGTTCTGATAACTTGGCAACAGTACAATGAAGCAAACAAAAAGAAGATTGAGAAAGTCTATAAAGCAAAGAAGTTGTTGGTTTGTGGGATTGGTGATGAAGAATACATTCAGATTTCGACATGCGAATCAGCGAAAGAAATTGGGGACTGCTTGAGGACTGCTCCATGAGGGCACGAAGCATGTGAAAGAATCGAAGATAAACATGTTGACCACCCAATATGATAATTTCACAATGAAGGAGGGAGAAACTATTCATGATATGCACACAAAATTCTCCTTCATAACCGATGAGCTACAAAGTCTGGGTGAACCTATCAGCAATAGCAAAAAGGGGACGAAAGAGATTCGAGTCCTTCCCAAGTCATGGGAAAGCAAAGTGGAACCTATTACTAAGGCTAAGGATCTAAAACTTTTGACAATGGATGCTCTTATCGAAAATCTAAAAACCCGCGAGATAAAAACAAAAATCAAGATATCTCTAAGAAGGAAGCCAAAAAGGATAAGTCTTTTCCTCAAAATTTCATCAAGTGAAGTATCTAGTGAAGAGGATTAAATGACCTATCTCACCAAGAGACTTCAAAAGATTGTGAGAAAACATGGAGGGAGAGATCTAATGATAAAGAAATTTGGAAAAGGAAAAGGAGAAGATACTAACCTGCAAGTAGAGTTAGAAAGCAATCTGAATACTGTTGAGACCAGACTTGCCCTAGCCTTGGAGAAGAATGATCATATGGTGATGGACCTAGTCCTTCTTAATTAAGGACTTCAAGTTTCATTGAAATGGACCAGCTCCACCAAACTGCTCTCAAACATCACTAGTCAAAACAACTACAACAGAAAGGGGTTAGGTAGTCTGAACATTAATCCTCCTTACAACTCCCATAACAAATATTATATGTCTCAAACAACTTACTGTGTCTTTGTTGTGGTCGAAATGGCCATCTAAAGAGGGACTGTACTGGATGGAAGGCTTCACAAGAGAAATTCTTTGTCTACTCTAGACAGAAAAAAGGCTCAGCAAGGAGGACCAGGTCCCACTATCAACTCTTCTAGACAATAAATTTCTAAAATAAGAGGACATGCTCATGTTCGTAAGGAATCGAACATGAAAAGAGCAAATCTAACCCATTGGGCAAAAAACACCCTTATTACACCTTCATCGGTTTATTGGGAACTCATATTGAAGTGGTTTCCCAAGTCTAATAAGTAATTGATCTTGCAAGTGAGTGAAGGAAGAAGCAGCAAGTGTTGTTATATGGAAAGTGGATGCTTTAACCACATGACCGGAAACCCCAAAATATTCCTTTCACTCAAGGCACTTCAAGGTGGATGTGTCTCTTTTGGGATGGAAAAAAGGGTATATTCATGGAGTTGGAAAAGTTGGAAATCACTTGAAGAGTCCATTGAAAATGTGTTCTATGTAAGCGGGTTAAAGTATAGTCTCCTTAGTGTTTCCCAGATATGTGATACGGGAAATGAAGTCAAGTTTTTGTTGGACAAATGCATTGTCACCTTTTTGTCTACAAAAAGGGTGATTCTGACGGCTAAAAGGAGGAAAAACGTGTATGTGGCAGAACTAGAAACAACTCATGGAGACGATCTGACATGCCTAAGTGCTCAAATTGAAAATGTTGACTTATGTCATAGGAGACTAGGTCATGTGAGATATTCTCTACTGAACAAACTGGTTTACAGGGACCTGGTCCGTGGTCTGCCAAAGTTGAAGTTCAGTGACAATCAAAAGTGTGATGCATATGTTAAAGGGAAACAAACTAGATCCTCATTCAAATCAAAGAAGCAGGTTAGTTTTCATGGATTTTTGAGTTAATACATATGGATCTGTGTGGACTTGTGAAAATCCAGATTCGAAGCAAAAAGAATTACGTCCCGGTGGTTGTGGATGACTACTCAAGATTCACGTGGACTATGTTTCTCAAGTTAAATTCTGAGACGCTGATGTGCTTATGATGTTTTTCAAAATGATTCGAACCATGCTCAATTGCTTGATTTTTAGGATCAGGTTCGACCATGGATTGAGTTTGAAAATGTGAAGCTTGATGTCTTTTATGCATAAAATGGTATCAACAATAACTTCTCAATGCACAGA